ACGGCTGCAAAACCTGTTTGCCCAGCACGGGGATATTGAGTTCTATAAGATAAAGCCATAAACATGTTTGTCTGAGTCTTCTATCAAAAGTTACAGCGATTTATATGAAGTTGTTCAAAAACGCTTTATTTCGCCAAGACAATGCGTTTCTCACTGTTACATGCATTTGAATGGGAAACTCGCCTGAGACAAAGTATAGGTTTTCATTATGTGAATAATTTTAAAATCTTAGCTCAAACGGCTGCAAAACCTGTTTGCCCAGCACGGGGATATTGAGTTCTATAAGATAAAGCCATAAACATGTTTGTCTGAGTCTTCTATCAAAAGTTACAGCGATTTATATGAAGTTGTTCAAAAACGCTTTATTTCGCCAAGACAGTGTGTTTCTCACTGTTACATGCATTTGAATGGGAAACTCGCCCGGTGAATAATTTTAAAATCTTAGCTCAAACGGCTGCAAAACCTGTTTGCCCAGCACGGGGACATTGAGTTCTATAAGATAAAGTCATGAATACGTATATCTGAATCTTCCATCAAAAGTTACAGCGATTTATATGAAGTTGTTCAAAAACGCTTTATTTCGCCAAGACAATGCGTTTCTCACTGTTACATGCATTTGAATGGGAAACTCGCCTGAAACAAAGTATAGGTTTTCATTATGTGAATAATTTTAAAATCTTAGCTCAAACGGCTGCAAAACCTGTTTGCCCAGCACGGGGATATTGAGTTCTATAAGATAAAGCCATAAACATGTGTTTCTGAGTCCTCTATCAAAAGTTACAGCGATTTATATGAAGTTGTTCAAAAACGCTTTATTTCGCCAAGACAATGCGTTTCTCACTGTTACATGCATTTGAATGGGAAACTCGCCTGAAACAAAGTATAGGTTTTCATTATGTGAATAATTTTAAAATCTTAGCTCAAACGGCTGCAAAACCTGTTTGCCCAGCACGGGGATATTGAGTTCTATAAGATAATCTATCAAAAGTTACAGCGATTTATATGAAGTTGTACAAAAACGCTTTATTTCGCCAAGACAATGCGTTTCTCACTGTTACATGCATTTGAATGGGGAACTCGCCTGAACAAAGTATAGGTTTTCATTATGTGAATAATTTTAAAATCTTAGCTCAAACGGCTGCAAAACCTGTTTGCCCAGCACGGGGATATTGAGTTCTATAAGATAAAGCCATAAACATGTTTGTCTGAGTCTTCTATCAAAAGTTACAGCGATTTATATGAAGTTGTTCAAAAACGCTTTATTTCGCCAAGACAATGCGTTTCTCACTGTTACATGCATTTGAATGGGAAACTCGCCTGAGACAAAGTATAGGTTTTCATTATGTGAATAATTTTAAAATCTTAGCTCAAACGGCTGCAAAACCTGTTTGCCCAGCACGGGATATTGAGTTCTATAAGATAAAGCCATAAACATGTTTGTCTGAGTCTTCTATCAAAAGTTACAGCGATTTATATGAAGTTGTTCAAAAACGCTTTATTTCGCCAAGACAATGCGTTTCTCACTGTTACATGCATTTGAATGGGAAACTCGCCTGAACAAAGTATAGGTTTTCATTATGTGAATATTTTTAAATCTTAGCTCAAACGGCTGCAAAACCTGTTTGCCCAGCACGGGGATATTGAGTTCTATAAGATAAAGCCATAAACATGTTTGTCTGAGTCTTCTATCAAAAGTTACAGCGATTTATATGAAGTTGTTCAAAAACGCTTTATTTCGCCAAGACAATGCGTTTCTCACTGTTACATGCATTTGAATGGGAAACTCGCCTGAGACAAAGTATAGGTTTTCATTATGTGAATAATTTTAAAATCTTAGCTCAAACGGCTGCAAAACCTGTTTGCCCAGCACGGGATATTGAGTTCTATAAGATAAAGCCATAAACATGTTTGTCTGAGTCTTCTATCAAAGTTACAGCGATTTATATGAAGTTGTTCAAAAACGCTTTATTTCGCCAAGACAATGCGTTTCTCACTGTTACATGCATTTGAATGGGAAACTCGCCTGAAACAAAGTATAGGTTTTCATTATGTGAATAATTTTAAAATCTTAGCTCAAACGGCTGCAAAACCTGTTTGCCCAGCACGGGGATATTGAGTTCTATAAGATAAAGCCATAAACATGTTTGTCTGAGTCTTCTATCAAAAGTTACAGCGATTTATATGAAGTTGTTCAAAAACGCTTTATTTCGCCAAGACAATGCGTTTCTCACTGTTACATGCATTTGAATGGGAAACTCGCCTGAAACAAAGTATAGGTTTTCATTATGTGAATAATTTTAAAATCTTAGCTCAAACGGCTGCAAAACCTGTTTGCCCAGCACGGGGATATTGAGTTCTATAAGATAAAGCCATAAACATGGTTGTCTGAGTCTTCTATCAAAAGTTACAGCGATTTATATGAAGTTGTTCAAAAACGCTTTATTTCGCCAAGACAATGCGTTTCTCACTGTTACATGCATTTGAATGGGAAACTCGCCTGAAACAAAGTATAGGTTTTCATTATGTGAATAATTTTAAAATCTTAGCTCAAATGGCTGCAAAACCTGTTTGCCCAGCACGGGGATATTGAGTTCTATAAGATAAAGCCATAAACATGTTTGTCTGAGTCTTCTATCAAAAGTTACAGCGATTTATATGAAGTTGTTCAAAAACGCTTTATTTCGCCAAGACAATGCGTTTCTCACTGTTACATGCATTTGAATGGGAAACTCGCCTGAGACAAAGTATAGGTTTTCATTATGTGAATAATTTTAAAATCTTAGCTCAAACGGCTGCAAAACCTGTTTGCCCAGCACGGGGACATTGAGTTCTATAAGATAAAGCCATAAACATGTTTGTCTGAGTCTTCTATCAAAAGTTACAGCGATTTATATGAAGTGGTTCAAAAACGCTTTATTTCGCCAAGACAATGCGTTTCTCACTGTTACATGCATTTGAATGGGGAAACTCGCCTGAAACAAAGTATAGGTTTTCATTATGTGAATAATTTTAAAATCTTAGCTCAAACGGCTGCAAAACCTGTTTGCCCAGCACGGGGATATTGAGTTCTATAAGATAAAGCCATAAACATGTTTCTGAGTCCTCTATCAAAAGTTACAGCGATTTATATGAAGTTGTACAAAACGCTTTATTTCGCCAAGACACTGTGCTTCTCACTGTTACATGCATTTGAATGGGAAACTCGCCTGAACAAAGTATAGGTTTTCATTATGTGAATAATTTTAAATCTTAGCTCAAACGGCTGCAAAACTGTTTGCCCAGCACGGGATATTGAGTTCTATAAGATAAAGCAATAAACATGTTTGTCTGAGTCTTCCTATCAAAAGTTACAGCGATTTATATGAAAGTTGTTCAAAAACGCTTTATTTCGCCAAGACAATGCGTTTCTCACTGTTACATGCATTTGAATG